GTATGGTCTTCTGCGTAATCTGGTGGCTCCAAGCAAGCCTGGGGCAATGGAGTATGACGATATTGTGGGTGTATTGCAAGCTCATTTTGCTCCCAAACCACTGGTAATAGCTGAGAGGTTCCAGTTCCACAAGAGGAATCAGGGGGAGGAGGAAACGGTCGCACAGTATGTGGCGGTGCTGAAAAGACTATCAGAACATTGCGAGTTTGGTGCATATCTGGAAGATGCTCTGCGGGACAGATTTGTGTGTGGATTAAAGTGTGAAACTGTGCAGAAGCGTCTTTTGACTGAAAACGATCTCACTTTTCGCTAAGTAGTTGATTATGCTGTGTCGGCAGAGACAGCAACACGTGAAGTGCAGCAGTTGAGTGGTTCCCTTAAAGTGAATGCGGTGCTGGCACAAAAAGGTGATAAATGCCGTCGCTGCAGGAAAATGAGTCATACTGATGAAGACTGCTGGTACAAAGACTGTGACTGTCATCAGTGTGGGAGGAAGGGCCACACGAAACGCATGTGTAAAGGTAGAGCCAGAAGCAGCCAAGATTGGAACAGGAAAGAGAAAGAGGGAAAACCTGAGCTGAAAGCTAATGCAGTTAAAAACAGAGCAAAGGACAAAAAGAGGAGAATTCATCAGGTTGCTGCAGAGGAGAGTGAAAGTGAAGGAATCATACTCGACACTGATAGTGAGTTTGAGCTGTATTCTTTATCTCGAAAAGAGAAATATGCATGTATCTCTCTATTGCCTGTAGTTAACGGGAAGAAAATGGAGATGGAGCTGGATACAGGGGCTGCAGTGTCTTTGATCCCATGGGAACAGTACAAAAGTAGGCTGAGTCAGTTGCCGCTGCAACCCACGGACATCATGCTGAAAACATACACTGGGGAGCCGCTGGCACCAGAGGGGGTCATCAAAGTGCAAGTTGAACTGAATGAGCAGCGTGCTACACTACCCTTGTACGTGGTAAAGGTGGATGCTCCACCACTGTTTGGTAGGGAGTGGCTGAGAGTCATCAAACTGAACTGGAAAGATTTAAAGATGATTCATGCCAGTGACAATCTGACAATCTGGAAGCTGTGTTAAAGAAACACTCAGCCATTTTCTCTAAGGAGCTGGGCACAATGAAATGAATTAAAGCCAGATTGACTCTTAGGCCCGATAGCGTCCCCAAATTCTGTCGACCACGTAACGTGCCATATGCTCTCCGCCCTTGGTTAGAGGCGGAACTGAAATGCCTGACTGAGCTTGGGGTGATCACACCAATGGCGCATAGTGATTGGGCTACGCCCGTGGTCCCTGTCAACAAGAAGGATGGCTCAGTGAGACTCTGCGACGATTTCAAAGTCACTAAATGCGCAGCTCTATGTGGATAAGTACCCACTTCCATGCGTTGAGGACCTGTTTGCTTCTCTAGCAGGAAGTCAGCATTTCAGTAGGCTAGACTTAGCAAATGCCTATCTACAGATGGAGGTAGACGAGGAGTCTAAGAAGCTGCTGACTATTTCGACACAAAAGGGGCTGTTCTGTTTCAATCGCTTGCCTTTTGGAGTGGCGTCGTCACCTGCATTGTTTCAGAAGGCTACAGATCAAGTGCTTCTCGGATGGGTACCGAATTTGGTACTTTTTAAGGTACCGACCGAATTCCACAGTACAAACCGAGCACCGATTCACTTCATTTGAAATGGTGCCTCGTTTCGGTACCCGTCCTTCACAACGAGAACTTGCCTAGACAGCTGCGCATGCGCAAGAGCGTTATGTCATCGGTCGCTGTGAGTGAGTTGTAAACAGAGCAGCATGGTAGAAAGAACGAAAGCTAAAGCTTGGGTCCACTTCACTAAATGTGGTGGGTAACTGGGTGATGATGAAACCAGCGACAACGATCTAAGTGAGACACCCTCATTTTAATCTGCTCCGGTAGTTAAATAAAATGTTTAAGATAACGTTAGCTTCAAGGCCATCAGTTTGTTTTTAGAATTGCTGGGGACAATAACCATACACTTGAGTGGGGTTTAAAAATTGCTGGGGACAATCATTAAATAGGCTAGCATATTTAAGTTTTCATCAGTTTTTAATGTTTCACTCCAATATGCACAGTAGTTTTTAATGTTTCACTCCAATATGCACAGTAGTGTATTGACAGTTATTAAAAATCCTGTTTTGTTTTTCCAACTGCACTGAAACCCCCCATTAGCCTGAAAGCAAGGTGGAATCTTTACATCCGTATAGCTAGCCTAGGAAAAAAGATCTTGTATTATTATTGTATTATATTATATATATCCTTGTTATATTATTTGTGACTGTCAAATTAGATTTTCAGAGAAAAATACTCATCTTTATATCAGGCTCCACTCTCTGGTCAACTCCACGCTCCGACAACTTAGCTGTCCGTGAACTACCGGATTCATTGATTTTAATACACTTTTCTTTTCGTTTCATGGCATTTGTTTACCATCTTTTCCGGGAAAGACAAGTCTCTGCGCATGCTCAACCTATTTATTCAGATTGAATGCTTGGTGCATAAAATAGTGTCCATGTAAACAGACATTTGGGATTTCCGAACAGCCAAGATTTTCATCGGATAGAGGAGATTTTGCGCATGTAAACGTGGCTAATGTGTGTTATCCAGCATCACACTCTGTTCAGGTTAAAAAGACAGCGAAGTAACTTAACACTCACTCACGAGAAGTTAGCTTCTATTAGCGACACGCTAATCGAAGCATTATCACCCATATAACTTGCTTTTATTTTTAAAGCTACAGCTAAACTTCTCACAGAACACTCCCAAGAGCCCTCGCATGTCAAAAACAAGTCACAAAAGCTACTTAACTCAACTTAAAATGGATTTAACAACATATTATTCTGCTCACGGTGGCTGTAAGCACGCCTGAAGGACCCCTGCATTAATCGCATTAAAATATCACCTTCTTTTGGTGTTAAATAAAATATAACATTGCTTACCTCTTGGAGATAACCAAGAATAAGGGATTCTTGAGCAGTGTGGGTGACGTGCTCTCCTGCTTATCACAAGCTGCATGCAGGGCTGCAGGGTAGAGAACTCAGCATAACGCAGGGCACTGTTTCAGAAATGTTACAAATTAATTAATTAATTGATTACGGTTTTATTTTTATGCTCAAGTATAAATAATTAGATGCCAGTTGCGACATTAAAAAAATCTGCTGGGAGCAGACGTAGGTATACGATCTGAGCTGGTAAAAAAAAAAAACCTCATCAGCAGGCTTTTTTGAAAGTGGGGGGGGGGGGGGGGGGCAGCTGCCAATCACAAATTTTGCATGTCCCCGGCATCCCCGGTTAAAATGACGCCTATGGTTAGCTTGATTTGTTAGCTTCCCTTTCACTAATGGTGTGTTCGCTTTCTCCTCGGAACTCCGAAATTCCGACTAGAAGAACATGAACACGCTCTAAAGTTTGGCTTCACTTTACTAAATGCGACGGGTGATTGGCTGAAGATGAAACCAGTGACAACGATTTAAGTGTGAGTCATCATCGTTGAAATCTGCTCCAGCAGTTAAATAAACTGTTTAAGATAACGTTAGCTTGATATGTTAGCTTCCTATGCCACCATTGTTATCATCTAATGGTGCGTTCGCTTTCTCCTCGGAAATTCTAACTTCCCAGTAGAAAAAATCAATTGAAAAAGGATGGTAAAAGGAATGAAGATACACAGTAAATTTAGTTCACAGTAAAGATGTTTGCTTCAGTTTAATTATCAACTTATAAAACTACAAGGACGATGTTAAAATACAAACAGTTGAATGTTATTTATCGTGATATTTATCAAATATGGTTATATATTGAGAAAAATATATATTTAATTATAAAAGAGAATTAAAATACTAAACACTCAAAAGTATCGAAAATTGGTACCGTTAAGTACCGGTATCGATTCGTAGGTACCAGGAATTTGTACCGGATCGATTCAAATGCCAAAGGTACCCATCCCTACTTCTCGGCCTACCATACACCCATTGTTATCTGGATGACATTCTCGTCAGTGGTCCAGATAAACAGACACACCTGAGAACCCTTAAGGCAGTTTTGGGCAGGCTGGAGGACTATGGCCTGCGTCTCAAACAGGATAAGTGCCTGTTTTTCCAAGAATCAGTGGAATACTTGGGCCACATAATTGATGCGGCAGGGTTGCACAAATCACCAGAAAAGGTGCGGGCCGTTATGAAAGCTCCAGCGCCAGCAGATGTCAGCCAGTTACGTTCTTTTCTGGGAATGCTCAACTATTATGGACGTTTCATACCTGATTTAGCCACCGTCCTGAAGCCGCTGAATGAGCTACTCAGTAAAGAGATGAAGTGGCAATGGACAACAGCCTGTGAGTCAGCTTTCCAGAAAGCTAAAGAACGCCTGGCTTCACCAGAAATACTCACTCACTACAATCCTGAACTGCCTCTCTGTTTGGCCTGTGACGCTTCACCATATGGAGTTGGGACCGTGCTCTCACATGTCATGCCTGGTGGCCAGGAGCGGCCAATTGCTTATGCTTCATGAACCCTCAGTAAAGCAGAGCGAAACTATGCTCAGATCGAGAGGGAGGCGTTGGCATTTGTATTTGGAGTGCGCAAATTTCACCAGTATCTCCATGATGACAAGTTCACCTTACTCACTGACCATCGCCCACTGACCTCCATTCTGAGTCCAGTAAAAGGTAAACCATCAATGGCAGCTGCACAAATGCAGCGTTGGGCGCTCCTTCTGTCAGCACATAATTACACCTTGCAGTATCGGAAGGCGACATATCACGCCAATGCGGACGGACTGTCACGTTTGCCTCTACCCCTGGCTCAGAAAAAGAATCGGGGAGCAGTTGAGGTATTCTATGCATCTCAACTGGACACCTTACCAGTCAGTGTTGCCGAGATCAGACGTGACACCTTGTCTGATGCCACATTGTCACGTATCCTGGAAATGGTAACAACTGGACGTTTTCCAGCAGCAAAGCATGCAGATCAAGAGCTGTCACCTTAACTGATGCGCAGACATGAACTCACAATACAGCAGGGATGCCTCATGTGGGGCGTGAGGGTGATTGTGCCACCTAAGCTGCGCTCTGGTGTCCTGCAAGAGCTCCACACTGCACATCCAGGGATGGTGAGAATGAAGAGCTTAGCTCGCAGCTATGTTTGGTGGCCTGGGATTGATTCTCAGATTGAGCTTCAAGCTAAAGCCTGCCACTCTTGTCAGCGTGTGCACAAAGAGCCTGGGTTAGCACCCCTGCACCCTTGGTTGTGGCCTTCATGTCCGTGGGAACAGATCCATGTAGATTTTGTGGGTCCTTTTGAAGGTCACATGTACCTGGTGGTGGTAGATGCACATTCAAAGCGGCCTGAGGTGCATATTATGGATGGCACCACAGCTGGTAAAACCATACAAGTGCTCTTTAGTCTCTTTAGTCGTCATGGCCTTCCCCATGTCCTGGCGAGTGATAACGGACCGCAGTTCTATTCTGAGGAATTTAGGGTGTTCCTGAAAGCTAATGGAGTCAAACACATTCGCTCAGCGCCATACTATCCTGCCACTAATGGGTTGGCTGAGCGTTTTGTTCAGACATTCAAGCATGCACTGAAAGCTTCCACGAGTACAGCACCTGTGCAACGACGCCTGGACACGTTTCTTTTGACATATCGCAACACTCCCCATGCAACAACTAGAGAAACGCCAGCCATGTTGTTCATCGGACGCAAGCTGCGCTCTCCACTGGATGTTCTGAAGCCCAGTGTGGCCGGCACAGTGTGTCGGTCACAAGATGCTCAACAACAATGCTGACAGCAACACTCTCGGGACAGATGGTTCACTGTGGGAGAGCCTGTCCTGGTGCGTGATTATAGGAAGGGAGAGGACAAGTGGACGCACAGTGTTGTTCTGGAGAAGACTGGGCGAGTGTCATACAAGGTGAATGCGGGAGCCCAAGGTGTGTGGAAACGTCATGTAGATCAGATGCTGACATGACCAGAGTCAGGATCTCAACAGGTCACAGTAGATCTTCCGACAAGCTCTCAGATGTCACCAGCCCAGAGTGGTAGTGACACCATGCTTCACCCTTGTACATCTCTGCAGGAAGAGACTGTTGAACAGGTTCTGGGGACCACCTCACCTCCAGAAACACCCCAGTCTCTTACAACAGCACCGACTGACTGTACACAGGTTACAGAGTCTGTGAGACGTTACCCAGTGAGAGTCACCAAGCCCCCCCCGCTCCTTATCGAGATGGGTGAACGTATTAAGTAGTTCAGTGAGAATGTTGGTGTTCAGAGACATTGTTCTCAACTACAAAACACTTCATACAGAAAGAAACATTAGTTCCAGTTTTTCATGAATGTTGTATAATAATAATAATAATAATAATAATAATAATAACAATAAAAAGGGTACTACTTTGGTTATGGAAATGTTTCTGTGGGTGGTGCTAGGGTCGCATAGCTTAGTGGGGAGGAGATGTTATGTATGGACCAAGAGTTATTGTGTGTTATGCAAGTCATCGCCAGTAGGAGGCACCACACCCAGTTATGTGTGTGTGTTACTTCTGTGTTCTGCAATAAACAGGAGAAGAAAAACTCGTAACCAAGCTATCGTGTATGCAGTCTGACTCGGTATAAACTCTAATAGTGTATTGACACAAAGGTGGAAATAGAACACTACCCAGTCTCATATTTTAGATTTAGTGATGTTTTATGGGATAAATGTTGATTATTTGTCTGTTGACGAAACTGTCATTTCTGACCATTTTCCAGTTTTGTTTGATTTTGATTGTCCGGTGAGCTTAGGTAAAAGGCCTGCGGTGCTGCGCTAGACACGGGTTATTACCCCGGCTACAGCTGATAGATTTTGTGCGTCTTTCACTGAACTGCCAGCCTCCACCCTATTTCACACCAATCTAGATGAAGATTTGCGTGTTTTTCACTCAGCCTGTCTCATGGTGATGGATACCGTTGCTCCTTTAAAGGTTAGACGCCCTAAGCCAAAATCTGACCCTTGGTTCAACTCTCACACACATGAACTCAGAAGAGTATGCAGAAGGTGTGAACGCAGATGGAAGAAGGATAAGCTATCCATTTCCCTTGAGCTTTTAGAAATGCACTAGATGAATATCAGAAAGCAGTCAGGAATTCTAGAAATAAATACTTCGCCAGCATTATTACTACCCATTCTGGGAACCAGAGGGTTTTATATAAAATGCTAAATGCAATTTTTTCCACTGATTACTCTCCTACAGTTGCAATCACAGATGATCTCTGCTCCCAATTTTTAAGTTTTTTCCTAGACAAAGTCTCCAATATTAGGAGTCTAATCATATTTCCCCCGGAGATGTTCTGCTACCCGTATCTGTTTGTACCAGATGCTTTGACCATTTTGAGCCGATCACACTGCCTGCCTTGGAGAGATTAATATTTTCCATGAAGCCATCAGGATGCCCTGATGGCATTGTACCAGCCAGACTCTTCCAGGAGGTTCTTCCAGTGGTAGCCCCTCATGTGCTCAACATTATTAACTCCAGCCTTGTTTCGGGAATTATACCCTCTGTTTTTAAACATGCCGTGCTTCAACCACTACTGAAAAAATCTGGCCTAGACCCAACTGACCTCAGGAACTTTCGCCCCATTTCAAAGCTCCCCTTCTTGTCAAAAGTGATGGAAAAGGCTGTTAATAATCAAGTTATGCCACATCTGGACAATTTTGGGGTCTTGGATAAATTTCAGTCTGGTTTTAGACAATATCACAGCACAGAATCTGCTCACATCAGGGTTTTTAATGATAGTACTTTAGCCACTGATTCCGATTCCCATGTTGCCCTGGTGATGTTGGACCTCTCAGCTGCATTTGACACGGTTGACCATGACATTTTATTGTTCCACCTTGAGAATTTGGTCGGCATTAAGGGATCTGCGCTTGACTGGTTCAGCTCCTACTTTGACAACAGGTCTATTAGAGTTAGAATGGACGACTGTTCATCTCCCTCTGCTGCTCTTCCTTGGGGCGTGCCACAGGGGTCTATCCTCGGCCCCCTTTTATTTAGCATTTCTATTCTTCCACTGGGACTAATCTTCAGGAAGTTTAACATTAGCTTTCATCTTTTTGCGGACGACTGCCAGATTTATGTTCCGTTGAAGACTTTTACCTCCATCCAGCCGCTCCTTGATTGCCTGAGTGAGGTTAAAGACTGGCTGTCAGCAAATGTTCTGCTGCTGAATGATTTTAAGACCGAGTTTATTGTTTTTACTCCTAATGGCTCGTCTTCCTCCGCTCCTGATTTTTCTGCTCTTCCTTTTAAAATTAGTCAAACAATTGTTAATCTTGGAATTAAAATGGATGTGGCTCTAAAAATGGACCCTCATGTTAATCACATGGATAAATCATGTTTTTATCAGCTGAGACGTCTTTCCAAACTAAAACCCATTCTGAATCGGCGCCACCTCGAGACAACCATTCACGCTTTCATCACCTCAAGGTTTGACTACTCCAATGCAATTCTGTTTGGCATTTCAAAACCCGCATCATCTCGCCTTCAGCTGATACAAAATGCGACAGCAAGATTTCTGACCAATACTGGCCGTCGGCAGCACATCACTCCAATTTTAGCAAGACTTCACTGGCTTCCTGTGCACTACCGTATACCTTTTAAAATGTTAATGTTTGTTTTGAAGGCGCTGAATGGCATAGCACCACCTTACATATCCGAGTTACTCACTCCTTACAATTTATACTTGGCAGCTTTAGCCAGAGGGCAGAAAGCATGTTTACAGTTCAATGATGCAGCTTTTTAAAATTATTTACAGGAAAGAGCTCTCATAATAAATATATAGGGTTAAATTGTCATGTTTAATGTTAAAATGTTAGTGACACACAATGGCTTTCCAATAACATTTAACAATACAACTAAGTAGTATGTAATAGTTTATGAGGAATTTTCCTTTCCACTGTTGCTACATGCTTGCTTATATAGGGATTTCTGTAAAGTCTCTTGACACTCAAGTCAGTGACTCGATGCAATCCTCAGGGTTTTCTTAGGGAACTTTTAACTAATAGAAATAATGAACTGATAAACTGGTTCAATTGGAATGTTTTCTTTGAGTCAACTGTTATTGGTGCTTTATAAAAAACCAAATCCTGTGACAATGTTATCTTAATTTAGACATTCTCATTTTCATAATAAACCTCTTGCATCAGCATCACAATAACCACATTTACATGTGCACATTTAATCGGATTGGGGGAGTTTGGCGTATGTAAAGGTGGCTAATGAAAACAATAAGTTACATGTGATATAAACTCAACAAATGCTCACCTGGTTCATCAGACCAGTCCACTGTCTTGATGAGTTAGACATATTTTCCAACACAACTACTCTGTTTCCTTCAACTCAAATCTTTAGAAACTGTTCAGCACTTTAAAATCACTCAAACTTTAATTAATACTCATTTTGGATCTTTGGTGGAGCTGATTATTATAACTGAAAGGAAGGAAAGAACAGAGGGTGAAATAGGGTGAAGAAGTGGGTTGAAATGGGTGTTGTAAAATGTCAGTTTCAGCAAGAATGACGTTAGAAAACATCACCATCGTGTAATCATTGTCTCCTCTAGACATGTCCAAACCATCTCAGAGTGGCATCTGACCTACTCGCCAAAACAACATGAGCTGTCCCTCTGATGGATTCATTGCTGATCCAATCCATCCTCATCACTTCCAAAGAGAACTTGAACATCTTTAGCTCTACAACCTCCAGTTCTGCCTCCTGTCTTTTCCTCATGGGCATTGTCTCTAAACCAGACAACATGCCTGCTCTCACCATCATCTTCACATCTTTCTGTGGGATTAGAGCCACAAGGCGGGAGGCTGAGAGGACGGCCAGAAAAGAGATTATTGGATGTGATGAATAAGGAAATGAAGGCTAGAGGATGTAGAGGACTGAAATAAATGGAGAGAGAGAATTCACCAGACATCACTGAAGAGACATGCCCAATGAGAAATAATTCTTGCTATTGTAAATATTTTTATTATGACTATTTTTTGTCTTTTGTGACACATTTTGGCACAACTTTGATCTCCCTAAGTCGGACATGCCAAATTTAGCTTTAGACTGAGAGACGTCTGTTTTAAAATGCATATTTTCTCCCTTATTATCAGACAGACATAGAACTGATGAAGTTGGTTCATTTCTGCAGCCTGCAGAGCCCCAAGCAGCGCTCAGGGACGATGTAAAATGATGCTAAAATAAATGAGGAAGTGAAAATGACACAAGATGGATGTTGTTTGTTTGAAAGTACAAGAAAATTTTCATTATTTGTTTCTTAATATTTAGATTAATGATTAGAATAAATCAATTTGTGCAAAGCTAAATAATAAAACATAATGACAATGGGTTGTACTCACCCTTCAGAAATCTGTTGCTGATAGAAACGACATAATGATGAAAAATCCATTTTACAGCAGATAAGATTTTAATGTTGTTGTTTCATCAGTGATAAAAACATGCAGTTCTGTTAAGAGTAAGACTATCATGAAAAAGCTAGTTAGATATGATCAGAGCGTTTTGCTCACAGATGAATCTGAGCTTAAACGAAGGATCTGATGTGTCCCAGTTCTGTGTGACAGGAGGAACCATATCATTAGGTTTAGGAACCAGCAGAGCAAATGGACCTGAACCCCCATATTGCCCTGGTATCCAGTACCTATAAAAACAAACATTAGAGCATGTTAAATAAAATGCTTCAACTTTTGCTGTAAATAAAATAAATAAAGAATGAATAAATGTGATGATTTGAAACAAAAAACATCATACCTTTAAAATGGTTCAAAAGCATGTGTAAGATATTTGTGTTTGGTAGGAAATTTAGTCAAATAGAACCTTCACAGATGTTTGTAGCTGTATGAATAATTAAAGTATCTAGTAAAAGTGTCTAAAAGGTGTTAAAACAAAAAATAATCACAGAAAAATATGTTGTTCTGTTTTTCACAGAAAATTTCTTACTTCAGATTATCCTCATGTTGATCAATCCAGATCCATTTACTGTTGGTTAGATTGTTTAATCCCAACCAGTATCCATGCCATTGATCAAAGTAGTATGCAGAATAGGTACTGATGAATTCCTGCAAATGATGACAGAGCCATTTCTCAAATATTCACTTAACTTCTCTGAATTTAACACACACACACACACACACACACACACACACACACACGCACGCACGCACACACACACGCGCACACACACACATATCCATTGTCTGAACCCCCCTTGTCCACGTAGGGTCGGGGGGTGGGTGGGGGGGGGGGGTGGCTATCTCCAGCAGTCAACAGGAAAGTAGGCGGGGTACACCCTGGACAGAGAGCCAGTCCATCTCAGGGCAACGCAAAGACACACAGGACAAACAACCATGCACACACACACCACACACTCATACCTAAGGACAATTTGGACAAAGAGGGAGAACATGCAAACTCCATGCAGACAGATCCCAGGCTGGGAAGCAAACCCAGCACCTTATTGCTGCAAGGCAACAGCTCTAACCACTGCGCCACTGCGCAGCCCTATATATATATATATATACATATATATATGTATATATATATATATATATATATATATATATATATATATATATATATATATATATATATATATATATATATACATATATTTGTGTGTGTGTGTGTGTGTGTGTATACATATAATGTAAAAGTTGCATGCAGGTGTTGGAGCTCACCTGTTCCTGCAGGTTATTTATAACAACCAGATCAGCTGATTTGCTCTGACAGAATTGTCGACTTTCATTCCAGGTTAACCAGATAGAAGTGTGATTATAAAACAGGTAACATGTTCCACTGAAGAGAATCCAGCCTGTCTGACATGGCTGACACTCTGGGTTCATGAAAAAATAAAAGGATATAAAAAAATTAAACAAGTTTAAAAATCATAATAAAATTTAAACATTTATTATATTTTATTTTAAACAAAATCATTTTCTGTAACAAAATCTCATTGTTTACATTCAGTAGAACACACAGAGACTATTTAAATTGAAACAATAAAAATAAAATCTTACAATTTTGATGTTTAAAAAGCATTCAGTAAAGCTGGGCAACCATTATGTTCATGTTAAGAATGATGGATAGTTTTCCAATGCACTAACATGACTGATTCTTTATCTGATGATATCTTACATCAGAGGCTTAACTTGTGAAGTCCAAATAACTCACTTTTGTTGGGACAGAAGTCTTTCACTGGGAAATTGTCATATGTCAGGATGGATCCCAGCGTCTGGTTGAGGTTGCCTCTTTCTTTTCTCAGCGCCACAGTCTGATTCTGCAGCAACTGGGTCTGATTCTGCAGCCACTGGGTCTGATTCTGCAGCCACTGGGTCTGATTCTGCAGCCACTGGGTCTGATTCTGCAGCAACTGGGTCTGATTCTGCAGCAACTGGGTCTGATTCTGCAGCCACTGGGTCTGATTCTGCAGCAACTGGGTCTGATTCTGCAGCAACTGGGTCTGATTCTGCAGCAACTGGGTCTGATTCTGCAGCCACTGGGTCTGATTATGCAGCCACTGCGTCTGATTCTCCAAACCTTTCTTTTCCTCCATCAGCTGATTTGTTTTATTCACTAAGAATCTGTTCTGCACAGTCAGCCGTTCAGTCTGACTCGTGATGTTTTTATTTTCCAGATTCAGCTGCTGATTTTTGGCTGTGAGCTCACTGATGCTTGCTTCCTGTTTTCTTGTTACCATGGCAACTATAAGTGAAAGGAAACAGCAAATCAGTCATTCATTCAGTTCAAGCATCAACAATTTTTTAATTTGTTTGCTTATTCATTTATTTTGATGAAATTCACTCTACTCTTCAGTAAAAAACTCCAATCAGGTGTTCAAAAACCAACCACATCAAAACCACTTTACTGACTCTTAATAATAAAAACTAAACTTACTTTTGATCACCAGGAAGATGACAGCTGCCATCAGGAGAAGACAGAGAATCCCCAAACACACCAGAGGACTGGATGATCTTTTAGTTGCTTTGACTTCTGCTTAAAATAAGTAGGAATTAGTTTATCTATGCAAAGTGAACTTCAAACTGAAGCATTGGTGAATTATTCATTATGTTAGCATGTTTATGCATTTCAAATTCTTCCAATTGACTTCACAATCATTCTTTAATTCTTCTGTGTGACATAAATAAATAACAAAATCCATAGTATTCCTCCACAAAGCCAGAATCATGTCTAACAACCCAAACAGTTCTTCTGGAGAAGAAACTTGATACATTTATTTTAATCAGTGCTTTTAACGTGGCCCATTAGTGTTTTGATTGGCTCCTTCCCTTTTGTGTGATTAGATTTTCTAAGTTGGCATTTTCTCCTCAGATAATTGAATCTTGTTGCTTTACAAGCTGAAAATCCAAATGATAAAAAATGATAAAACTATAAAAATGTCAATAATGAGTTTTGCTTTTAGCTACATGTTCATCATTTACAGTAACTTACTGGGTTCTGCAGGTGTTGTTTTCCCAGGTTGTTCCACAGGTTTAGTCGTCAGATCTCCTGCTTTCTCTAAATAATTTGAAAAAATATATGAAAGGTGAAAAAAATATGCGGTAAAGGTTTCTGCACAAAAATCTGGCATTAAAACTTAATGCTTTACATTAATAACTTGTGAATTCTTCATAGTTTTTATTGATTTATTTATTGTTTCTTTTTCTTTTTTGGGGTTTGGGGGGGGGGGGTTCTTACTCGGTTCAGTAGTGGCAGCTTTGGGCTTGACTTCAGAATAAACCTGTGGCTCCTCCTTTGCCTCTAAACAACAGAATAAAAGGATGAGATCACTTTCAGAGGTAGCTGTGGAAGTTCAAGAGTTTTCCAGGAGTTGGAGGATCTACTAGTGTTAACAAGCCACCAGCTGTTGGAAGTGGGAATGAAACAGGCTTTGTTCATCTTTATCTCAGACTAAAAATAATTCCTCATTCTAGTAAAGATGGAAGAAATGTAATCCTGCAGGGCAACCATTATTAAACTAAGCACTATCAAGGCACCTGACTGGCAGCAGCAGGACAGAGTGGGCCCATCCCCAGATGTGTGTGTTTCTAACACATACATATCAGCTTCTCCAAGGAGGGATTCCGATTTTCCCAACAAAGACAGGATTTCCCCTAATTTCTGTAAGTCTTTAGAAATGAAAGTAAACTTGAATTCAAAAGGAGAAGTTCCATTCCAGGAGTATGTCATCAGTAGTTACAGAGGTGTTTATTTTTTTATTGTGAACAAAATAACTTACTTGATGCAGCTGCTGCCAGAGCTTTGTGTTTGACTTCAGAGTAAATCGACACATCCTGTTTTTCCTCTAGATGATAGAAAATGAATGCATCAGATGAACGAATAAAATAATTAAAATCATGTCAGTGATCATACCCCGCAAACACGTAGAGAGTTAAAACAGGTGGAAGGGAGCGCGTCAGTGGGGTTTGCAAAAAGTCTTTTAAATTCAGGTGCTCTTCAGGATCTAATGAATGATGGAATGTGGATGGGGAGGAAAAACAGGTAATCCGAGGCATTCTGAAAAATGTTTTTATTACGAGCAAGAAAAAAAGGGAAAAGCAGACGCGTTACCGTCTCGAGCGACTTTCCTCAGGGCTTTAAAAAAAACAATAACCAGGAGATCATAAATAGTAGGCCTCTGATCATGTGACAAATAATTAGGGAAATGCCAACATTAACAAAAAAAATATAGAAAGATAAATAGCTGGTGAATAATAACAACAATCTACCCAAATAGAAAATAATTATCCCAAAAGATTATTGATGTAAATAACAAAATCAAAATAAATAAATACATTTTGGAGTGAAAATGAATAAAAATTATATAAATATCTATTATTCAACTTGCTGTGAGAATATCATCCACTCCTGATAAAATATTTTTCTTGTAGAAGAATTGGACATTATTGTTATTATTCACCAGCTATTTATCTTCCTATATTTTTATTTGTTAATGTTGGCATCTCCCTAATTATTTGTCACATGATCAGATGCCTACTATTTAGGATCACCTGGTTATTCTTTTTTTAAGTCCTGAAGAAGGTCGCACGCGACCGAAATGCGTCGCCTTTTGCCTGTTTTTTTTTCTTTCTCGTAGTAAAAACGTTTTCAGAGTGCCTCGGATTACCTGTTTTTCTTCCCCATCCACATATAGAGTTACTTTAAAAGGGAAGCTCAAACGTTTATAATTTACTTTCAAGGGTAAAATTGTTTGATGCAGAGAAAAGTCATTTATTTTCAGCTGGATCAAACGGGTTTATCTCTGCTGATTTAAATCATTTAGTTGCTGTTTTTATTTTTTACCACCTGACTACAAAACAGCCACAAACAGAGAAGCAGCTCATGACAACCCCACTTGTTCCTGGTTGGAAGTCCAATAATTATTTTATTTATTTTTATTTATTGTTAAGCATCCATGAAATATGCCCTGTTGTTTTTGCATGTGCTTTAAAAAAGAAGTAGGGAAACGTGCCTTTTAAACATACCTTGTTAATGCACCTCGGGACTGTTACCTGCTCATATAAAATCTATTTCCTCCTTCCACCTTAACCCTTTGATGCATAATGGTCACTAGAGTGGACAGGTACTCAAAATTGTTATTTATTTATTTTTACTATTAAGCACAGCTGTTGAAGACTTTATTGCATGTGAGCCCCTCCATTTGGGCTTCAGTAAGTCAAGCCAACATATTTCATGTTCAGAATGCACGCTGTCCACTGAGGTGGATGTGTAATAAATTATTTGTAAATTAACAAAATGTTACAAAAGATGTTTGTTGAAATTTGTTTCATTCACACCTAAAGATGAATGAAAAAAATTGTTTAAAAAATCATGGTTGAAGATTTCATAATTCATGCATCAAAGGGTTAAAAAAAACTCTGAGTATGTGAAATCAATTTGTAACTGTCTGACTTTCTTTTGGTTGTACCAAAGCAGGATTTATTAATATTATAATTTGTTTTTTGGTCCAGCTTTGTTTAGTTATCCATTCATCAATCTTCTTGGTTGTCTTTTGTTAATTATTTTTGGATTGAGTTTGTTTCATTCTATGTACTGCCTCTGTCTTCCTGTATCTTACTTCTCTATGGTAGGGCCCATAAAGGACTCATAAATGAGATGTTTCATCGCAAGTGGTTTTATCCTCCTAAAATATAAGTTAATAAATAAAATATATGATTGTAAATAGTAATATATATATATATATATATATATATATATATATATATATATATGATTTTATTGTGAAAGGACACAGAAGAAATAAGGATGCCATCATAAAATGGTCACCAATAGGAGGTGATGAACCTTGACCTCACCGATCACCCAATAAAGAGGGAGTGTTTTGTGATGACGTGGCTCATACTCTGATTTGTACAGCTCTTAGTAAAAGCTCCAGTGAAAGCAGCTCTGAGGTATAGTCGTTCATTCTAAGCTGGGATTCTACTTGGTAACAACTCCCTCTGCTGACATTCATTCACATTAAAGTCAATATACAAAACTAAATTACTAAAACATTTTATAAATGACATACAATAAAGAGAACTCACCTGGAACTGGTGAATTTTTCTTTCCATAGTTCTTCGTCAGGTTTTCTTTTTCTCCTGTTTAAACAAAACAACATGAAGAAAAGATCAGAAACGTTCTCTACTGGTTTGAAAGTCCTGGACCCTCCCTGACCCATTTTGTGTTGATGACATGCCTGGATGAGTCTCAGAATCAGAAACAAATATGTCAAAGTGTGCAAGGGGTGTCCGAGATGTTCTTTTGAGATCTCGCTGTTAAATTTCTTACTGCATCCTTTACGAAAGCTGTTTCTAAATGAGTAGATTGACAGTCTTGAATGGCTTGTACTCGTGTGGTGCTTTTCAAGTCCAATGACTCCACAGTGCTTTACACACATTCACACACTGGTGATGATGAGTGTAGCAACAGCTACCCTGGGACACACTGACACTGATGCTGCTGAACACAGGCAGCACCGGCCCCTCCAGCCACCACCAGCAGCAAAGGAGGGTGAAGTGTCAAGAGACAGGAATTGAGCCAGCAACCCACCGATTACAGAGCGAACGCCCAACCCCTTAACCGCTGTCACCCCACAAACACTAGAACATGTACACACCCTTCATCTTTAAGTGTAGCTGGCCGCACAACAGAGGAGATGAGGACTCGCCTCAATTCAAGCATTGTGAACATTATTATTCCACCATGGTGTGGTAAAGATCCTCCTTCATTAACCCAACTCACGAATACAGAAATGATTGAGGAAGTCCTAAAGTATTTAAACTGAGTGAAAACACAAACTTTGTCTGATATCTATGTAATTATTAAATCTCTAATATGCTATAAAATATATTTTACATATAGAAACCACTTACCATCTTGAGCTGCAGCCCTGTTTTTGAAAACCAACGAGGAATAACTGATTTCTTCGTCCATCTCCAAACTCCTGCTGCTTCACAGCAGAATGTGAGATCAGATTTATTAAAGCTGATGTGTGCTGATGTTTTAAATGTCGAAAAAAAATAACGTGTGTAAAAGAGAACAAACAAGTTCCTTTTATTTAAAAAGTTAGAGGAAAACAGATTTTACCAGTATATATCACGTCCTTTTTAGGAAGTTAGTTGCTGCTTCTGCTTATCTGGGGTCAGCTAGAGGGTGCAGCAGCTAAGGAAAACAGGTCCCGACTTCCCTCTCCCCCTTTGGGCCAGTTCCAGCCCTCCAGCATGTCCTGGGTCTCCTTTTAGATTGGTTCCCAGTTGGACATGCCTGGAAAATTTCTCCAGGGAGGCATCCTAACTAGATGCCCAAACCACCTCAACTGGCTCCTCTTGATGTGGAGGAGCAGCTGATCTCCTCTAAGCCCCTCCCGAATGACCAAACTTCTCATCCTGTCTCTAAGGAAGAGCCCACACTCTGCAAAGAAAAATAACTTCAGTCTGTGTGTCTTTACCTGCAATGTACTGGTATTCTCTTTGTGAATGTGCTGCCTTAACAAGAGAATTTCCCCACAGTGCAAACAATAAAGTTTCTTCATTTGTTTATTTGTTTGTTTGTTTGTTCACTTGCTTGCTTGCTCTGACCATCCAATCAGAGGACAATGAACTCCTGACTTCCCCGTGAGCGAGCTTTAAGGCCCAGGGAGGTGAGTGAAAGTTGATTCTGACCATTTAGTTTAGGTCATCGGAGAAAGTCTTGTTGTCTCTGACAGCACACTACTAAAAAATCTATAAGGAACAGCCAACAGTGGATGTGTTCACCTTGTGCTCAGTTTATGGTGTAAGGAGCTGAAACATCAGGGAGGGGCTCAGAGTAGAGCAGCTGCTCCTCAAGCATAGAACGGTGAGGGGAAGATTTATGCTCATTTCCCTTATTGTGACATCACAAAAAGAGACTTTTTTAAACAGTTGATTTAGGGCATATCGTTCCTGAAACCAAATACTGACAGAAAAACAGATGGACTGATTTATTAATGATTGGAGTGTTTACAGATGCATTAGAGATCCAGGTGGCAGGATGAAAGCTTTTCATAATATGTCCAGTTTAATGTGAAGAATGAAGAGAGAATGACATTCTGTGGTCTAGCCTGCTTCACCCAAATTTGAGTAAAGCAAAATTTTCCTGTAGCTTTAAGGGTACAAGAAGCCACTTCTGGGTTGCTTCTGTTTACTGGCTTCAGTTCTTTACACAACTCTGGAGCTTTTTGCCTGCAGGTGTCGAATTACAAATGTAGGCCCAGCAGCGTTAGCTCGGTGCAGACTTGGCAACTTCTCAAACTCGCTGACTGTAAACATTTTTTCCATTTTCATTTTTCATTTTCATCCGCTTATCCAGAGTCGGGTCACGGGGACATTAGCCTAAGGCGAGAGGCCCAGACTTCCCTCTCCCCAGCCACTTGGGCCAGCTCCTCTGGGGAATCCCAAGGCGTTCCCTGGCCAGGTGAGAGACATAGTCCCTCCACCGTGTCCTGGGTCTACCTTTAGGTCTCCTCCCGGTTGGATGTGCCCGGAAAACCTCACCAGGGAGGCGTCCAGGAGGGATCCTGACCAGATGTCCGAGCCAACTCAACTGGCTCCTCTCGATGTGGAGGAGCAGCGGGTCTACTCCGAGCCCCTTCCGAATGACCGAGCTTCTCACCCTATCTCTAAGGGAGAGCCCAGCCACTCTTCGGAGAAAACTCGTTTTGGCCGCTTGTATCCGCGATCTCGTTCTTTCATTCACTACCCAAAGCTCATGACCATAGGTGAGGGTAGGAACGTAGATCGACCGATAAATCGAGAGCTTTGCCTTCTGACTCAGCTCTCTCTTCACAACGACAGACTGGTACAACGCCCGCATCACTGCAGATTCAGCACCAATCTGCCTATCGATCTCACGCTCCAGTCTTCCCTCACTCGTGAACAAGACCCCGAAATACTTAAAGATGAAGCCAAATGGACCACATCATTTGCAAAAAGCAGAGACCTGATCCTCAGGCCACCAGAACAGATACCCTCCACACCTTGGCTGTGCCTAGAAATCCTGTCCATAAAGGTTATGAACAGAATCAGTGACAAAGGGCAGCCTTGGTGGAGTCCAACTCTCACTGGGAACGAGCCCGACTCACTGCCGGCAATGCAGACCAAGCTCTGACACCGGTCATACAGGGACCTAACAGCCCATATCAGAGGGCCTGGTACCCCATACTCCCGGAGTACCCCCCACAGGGCCCCCACAGGGCCCCCCGAGGGACGCGGTCAAACGCCTTCTCCAAATCCACAAAACACATGTAGACTGGTTGGGCAAATTCCCACGCACCCTCCAGGATCCCCCTAAGGGTATAGAGCTGGTCCAGTTTTCCACGGCGAGGACGAAAACCACATTGCTCTGAGGTTCAACAATCTGACAGACCCTCCTCTCCATAACCCCTGAATAGACCTTACCAGGAAGGCTCAGGAGTGTGATTCCCCTGTAGTTGGAACACACCCTACGGTCCCCCTTTTTAAATAAGGGAACCACCCCGGTCTCCCAGTCCAGTGGGACTGCCCCCGATGTTCACGCAATATTGCAGAGCCGTGTCACCCAACACAGCCCCACAGCATCCAGCCTTAAGGAACTCCGGGCGGATCTCATCCAACCCTGGAACCTTGCCACAGAGGAGCTTTTAAACCATCTCACAGACCTCAGCACCAGAGATTTGAGAGGCCAATTCAAAGTCCCCAGACTCTGCTTCCTCACTGGAAGACTTGTCAGTGGGATTGAGGAGGCCTTCGAAGTATTCTGCCCACCGATCCACAATGTCCTGAGTAGAGGTCAGCAGCACAACGTCCCCACTATAGATAGTGTTGGTAGTGCACTGCTTCTGCCCAGCAGAATGAGGGAGTCACCGGAAGGAGCGCTCTCCAGCACCCCCTCCAAGGTCTCCAAAAAGGGTGGGTAGCCTGAACTGTTGTTAGGTGCATAAGCACAGACCACAGTCAGAACCTGTCACCCCACACGTAGGCGGAGGGAGTCTACCCTCTCATTCACTGGGGTAAACCCCAACGTACAGGCACCAAGATGGGGGGCAACTAGTATGCCCACCCCTGCTCAGCACCTCTCAGTGGGAGCAACTCCAGAGTGGTAGAAAGTCCAACCAATCTCAAGGAAACTGGTTCCAGAGCCAGAGCCATGCATTGAGGTGAGTCCCACTATATCTAGTCGGAACCTCTCAAGCTCACACACCAACTCAGGCTCCTTCCCCACCAGAGAAGTGACATTCCATGTGCCAAGAGACAGCTGATTGTAAACAGTAACTGACAAACCCCCAGCCAGCTGAGAATAAAGTTTCCATTTGTTCTAAAATGATAGACATTAGACAGTTTAGTGATGATTTCATTGGGGAACTCCTGAAGGTTGCTCCTTTAATTACAAATGAGATGCAAAAGAGGTAAAATTACACAACAATTATAAAAAGGCCACAATTAAAAATGGAATAAAGCAAAATTGAAGACCAATCACTACCAACTATTACCAGATTATCAGCAACAAATTTTATAAAACTAAAAAAGCAGGGAGCTGGAGCACTCAGGTGTGTAAAACCTTTTAATAGTGCTCCAGATCCTCTGCTTTTTTCCTTTTGATTGTCCTTCAGCTGTGCAAGCACCAGTAGTACAGTGGATGACACGCAGTTTTATAAAACATCTTCAATCTGAAAATCTGCTGCTGAAGAGAATGTGGCATTTAAAATGGGAGAGGGTGCTTTAAACCCTCCCCTTTGATTTCAACAATTAAAAACACCTTGTAAAACAAAGAACAGAAAGAACTAAAAGGACACAAGTTTACTCAAAGGAAGGCAAGTTTTGATTAAAAAGGAGTTGACAATTTATTAAAGAAAATATAAAAACAAGAGCTCAGTAAGAAAGAAAAATACTAAAATCTATTAAAACAAATGACAAAGACTAACAGCTACCAAAATCCAGCCTGAGGTTTACCAGTGGAGACCAGTCAGTAACTGGGAGGTGAAACCCCCATAAAGAAAAATAAACTAAATCGAAGGCACCCCAAACACCATGCCTTCATGAGTGAAGGAACCCTCAGGCACAGCACACACACACACACACACACACACACACACACACACACACACACACACACACACACACACACACACACACACACACACACACACACACACACAAACACACACACACACACACACACACACACACACACACACACACACACACACACACACACACACACACACACACACACAAATTGGATTTAAAAGATGATCCACACATTTAAACAGTAGATACTCCTGAGACCGGTAGAACCTCAGAACCCTCCTGGATTACTGAAAACAACAAACAGCTAGCAAGCTACTGCAGAAGTTATTCTGGTAAGTTTAATTGTTTTCAATATAAATAAACAAACTTTACCGACTTTGGTTCTGATGACGAACAGAATCCTCCCCGGTGTCCAGATCGGCTTGTGGGTCTTCTGAGTCAAAAAGTCTCAAACATGTCTGCACCTTCGGCTGTCCATCTAGTAGGTGGTCGGTTGAATTCCTCCAGCGATCCAATATCCATTCTTGTCACATCCCAGAGAGAAAATGAAAATCTGATCGACTTGCAGTTTCAGAAGCTACATCTGACACATAGTCATCTGAAATGCCGGAGATCCACTGTTTATTCTGTTTGTTGAGTGTTAGTGGCGTGATGTCATCAGCTGGTTTGGGCTCAGATCTGAAGCTATCTTCTGTTTTGAAAGCGGTTTATAAGAAAACTTGATTTTCCTAAAAAAATATTACTCTATCCCTAACCCAATGAAAATCCAAAAACTTTTTTCAGCTGAGGTTTTAATACTGTTTTTACATGTACCATTCAATGGAATGATGCCTCTGGCCAATAACTTTACCCTTAGTGCATTATTAAGCATTAATAAGCAAAGGGTTTCTTTATCAATGCTACTGTTTCCTTGTTTACTATTAAGTGTCCTTAAGGTTGGGACAAAGGGCCGAGGGTGTCTGTTTAATAATGCATTACATAATATGGTTTAACAGTTGTAATACTTTCTACTGTTTAAATAATGCACAGAGTAATGTTAATAAAGACACCCTTATTGTAAAGTGTAACCATTTTCTTTTCTCATTTTATCCAGGGACTCTATTTGTCTCCTAATGAGGACATGGAGTCCTTCTTTCTAATCTCTTTCCTCTGCACACATAATTGCAATCAGACTATCACTTAAGCAAATCTGTCAGGATGTCAGGAATGAGTTTTTTTCGATTCAGTGAGTTTTTTCCTTTGCATGTCTGCAAACATTTGCAAGGCTTATGAACGTCAGCCAATCTCATTAATGCGAAAGCGTTTTCCTGGACCTACAGATAAATCACACTTTTGGAGGTTTTTCAGGATGGAAGCAGAGTAAAAAACAGGATTTTCTCTTACACCGTGCAAACATGAGAACTACGCATGCACAACAGAACATAGTTATTAACAACACCCCATTAATCCTGATGGACACATTTCTACTAATTATGAGCATTCAGTGACTACTAGAACATCAGCTCAAATACAAAATTTGCTGAATTTTCAGTGTTATTATAATTCTTTGTTTACCTCTGAGCTGTTTATCATTAAACTAAAATGTAACCAGTGAACATTTCTGTTCTACACATACATCCTAAATGATCTCCTCATAAAAGCATGCCTCCTCTCACGGGTCGTTTCCATCAGAGTCCCTGATGAAAACTTGACCATCAGAGTGGTTTTTCCACTGCAGACGAACAACTCCAGAAATGTTCTCACTCAGCTTATTCTGCATCTGCAAAGGAGACAAAATTCAGGTTTTTATTTGTCAGAAGAAAATTTTACATTTGCAAAAAACAAATCGTTAGGACTCACCTGCTCCAGGATGCTGTTTTGCACTTCTGGGTCATTTAGATCCAATGTTGAGTCCAGTGGGCTGATCCTCAGTTTGATATAATGTAGCTGAGTTTGATCTAGGAACCAAAATGAAACCTAAATAAAGACTCTCTTCTCATGTTTAACATTTACTGGTTAAAATCTTTACTCACTGCACTTGCAGAGGAACGGATGAGTTTCCGCACAACTCCTGTCTCCCCATTTACCCGATTCCACTTTCAGCATGGCGACACAGTTTTGAGTACCTACAGCAGAAACTGCTTGGCTTGGTCTCCAGAACCTAAATGAGGAGTCTGACAGGTCTGACCACACCCAGGGATCGTAGAAAAGCCCGATATACACAGTTTCTCCATTAATTATCGCCTGGACTGTCTGGTATTCTGCATCATTCCTTAAACTGACCAGGTCCGTGTGGTTTTGTCTGCAGAAATCCCGAGCAGCGGTCCAAATCATTTTGTCTGAGAGCCAGTACTGATCTGCTCCTTGTTTGGTTCCTAAAAAGGAACGTTTCAAAGTTTATATCCCTTCTGGAGGAGAGTGTCCAAAGCGTATTTTTTTTATTATTAGACTGTAATTTGGTCAATAACCAAAAGTTAATATCTTTTTGGAACTGGTAAAAATGTTACTGCCTGCCACCAAAACAACCTCCCCAAACAAAACCAAAAGGGGAGTGATTGAGGAATAACTCACGATCAAAGCAGACTGCATTCAGGCCGTAATAACAGTAGGTAGTGTAGATTATCCCGTTTCTTAAAGTGACACAGTTGTTGCCTGTGTTTGATCCCCATTTAAAGTAAGTCCTTTCTCCTGCCTTGTAGAGATCCTTGTCTGCCAGAGACCAGATAAACCTTGGGTGGTTCCCCTTATACAGCCCGATCCATATGGCATCACTGTAGCTGTTTCCGACATAGTTAAGAACCACATTCATGTCTTTCATGTCCTCCATGGTTGCTAAGTCGATGCAGTTCTTTCTGCAGTAGCTCTGTGCCTCCGTCCAGGTTTTTGCAGTTTGGAATAAGGCGTATGAATGTACATGCACATAGAGAAACAGGGAGCACAATCCTGCAGCACAACAGTCACAGTTTCAGCCACAACCATATTCAAGCATACATGTGTGAAAACATCGCCAGAAATGGTCAAATGAGAAGGTATAGGATTGGAGAGATACCGGCCTGTCAGAAACGAAAGATTCAGGATGCTTTTCATGATTGCTTGATATTTTACAAGTGATCCAACAAAATTCCTTTAAAATGAAAAGAAAGATTATAAACATCATTGTATATCTTGTGTGTCAGTTAGATAATCCTGGCTTATTTAATCCTGCTGGAGTTATTGAGTAAAAATGAACCATTGCATCATTCTGTGCTCATGTTTCCTGTTTTGTCTTGAAAGAAACAAAAAGTGAGAAGAAAATAAAACAATTCTAGGTGAAAACTTGAATCAGAAAGACTTACTTGATGTTTGTAGGTTATTATTAGTTTATCCACAGATCCTAAAACTAAACCTTTGTCCTGTTCTTCCTTTTGCTAGGTTGTCTCAGCAGATTCTCCCAACCGCTCCAGGTCTTAATGATTAATTCTCTTTTACATGTCTTTCTCGTATGTAAAACAGTGTGAAAACCAAAGATGCAGATCTGCAGCAGAGCTAAACACCTTAGCTATGGTTTCCAAAGTGTGGCATATATGGACAAACTTCATACCGTTCATAAAACGTGACTAAAGAATGGAAACGTGACCAATAACAGTTTCTTGTTCTTTATACGAGAGGGGTCACCACCACTGACAATCCAAAGAACTGATGGCAACCGATTTGGCGCATGAGCAACCATTTATTTAACATGAGCAAGACAGAATGATAAAAGCCTGAATTAGGGTTAGGGTTTGACGTTTTGTAACTCTAACCCTTTATAAATGTTGCTAAAAAAGTCTTTTGATTGTTTTCCACAATAATACAATCAGAATAAAAAGGTCCTCAGGACATTGCTGTAGCGTGATGATGAACTATATCTTCATTATGACCGATAAGACATGAATATGAAATATCAGCCTGATTGATCTTTGAATGTTTAATCACAAGATTCTAGTTTTCTTTACTTATTCAGGGACCATAAACACACCATATTATTTCAGACAGAGTCAGGTATGTAGTTTACCAAATAAATTTATTTCTTTTCCTAAACTAATGATTATACATGACAAGATATGAAGATATGTAATGTAGTGCCATGCTCTGTGCTGAACTCACCATCTTTGTCTGAGCTTTGTTTGCAGGTGGGTGTGTCTGGAGAGCTCAGCTGTATCAAATCAGCTCATCAGCGGTCAGGGGATTTAAGGAGCGGCAGGACGACTCGCCAGTGCCAGATGATACTCAGTCTTGGGTAGTTTCTAGCCCACTGATCTTTCCTGAAAGATATCAGTATTTGTTTGTCTGCCCATTACTGCCCTTCTAGCAGTTAACTTACTCTGTCGTCCTGATCCTTCCAGGTTTCATTTCATCTATTCAGTACTCACTTTCTGCAATATCATCGGAACCATCGTCAACATTCCAGTCCCTCCGTTAGCCCCTGAATGCCTGATCTCCGCCACTCACCTGCCCACCTGCAGCTCCTCAGTCTCCCTGCTCAGCCAGGCCTGGCATACCCTCCCCAAAGAACCCGGCTCATCCAGGAAACCGAAAGCCCTTTGCCTTCCTCATCATCCTCTCACGTTGTCCCAGACTCTGACCTCTCTTCCTCCCTCAGAACCCAACGGATCCATTTCCTTTCCCTCGGAAGCTACCTCTTTCCTCACCATACAAATAAACAATTTTTACTTGCCTTCCGACTCCTGGTGGTGATTCTTCATGTCGTGGGTTAAGAAATTGTCTTCAAACATGACAATGTAGCGGGTACGAGGTGAGGTACTGTGATGTGTGAAATGTTGTAATGGAAGCTAGATGTTTTAGTAAAACCGTTCTTTGTATCTGAGAGGATTTGTGAAGTCTGGGTTGGAAAGTAATTTGGCTTTTGTTTGGTGAGCTAGAGATTTGTTTATAAATGTCATCTGACACAATCTGTTGAGCCTACGATACCCTTTTGTGGAGATGTTTATGTTTATTTATTTGGCAGACACTTTTATCCAAAGCGATGTACAATTTATAACCTATAGGGCATGTTGTGATCTGTGGGGGAAACCGGAGTACCCGGAGAAAACCCACGCATGCATGGGGAGAACACGCAACTCCACGCAGAAAGACCGCAGCCAAGTTTAGAACCTGCAACCTTCATGCTGCGAGGCAACAGTGCTAACAACTGCGCCACCATGCAGCCCAGATCCCCGTCCAGGTCCAGGGGCTCACAAGGTCCGGATGGACACAGACCTTGAGGTACCAGGAACCCTTAGATTAGCTCCGATATGACCCGTCTAGTCTAATCTCCAGGTCACAACAGGAAGGAATGCTTGGTTGCGTCCAAGTATGGTTGTTTGGCTCTCAGAAGAGCCGTTTGTCTGATATGAGCAGCAGCATTGCAGAGAGGCTTTTGACTGGAGGACAAAAGAGATGGTTTCAAAACTGCTTCTTCCCTGATTTGGCCGAATCGGGAGTCAGCTAGAAACTGAATTAACCAGGAAGTAATTCTTGTTTTATTAAAACACAATGTTGATAAATTTGGCAAATCAGGATTTGACACGTTTGAGGGTTTCATCAAAACATTTCTCAGAAGCCACGCCTTGTTCAGATACAAAGGTAGTTAACACTTTGTGAATGACAATGCTTTAAATCACTTATGTGAAGTGAATATTAACATTAATAGTAGTGATGCACCGATATGAAATATTTGGGTTGATACCGCTATCCGATACCAAGATCATTGTTATGGCCAATAACCGATATTTGCCGATACCGATATACTGACATTAATGCTTCTAAAATCAGCAGATTTTGCATAGAATGAAAATTATTTAAACTGAATTTATGTTATTATGTGCACACAACCCACACATTTACGCTTTTGAGGTGATTATAATCACTGTCACATGACTAAACCAATACACATCACCCCCCCCCCCCCCCCCCCCCCCCCACCCCACCCCCCTTACACACTCAAACAAATGGAGACAAGATGGAAAAGATATCGGATGTTAATATTGGCCCAATTTTATTCATCGGACCGATATCGATATGTTAAAAAAAGACTAACATCGGCCGACACCGATATTGATGCCGATATATTGTCCATCCCTAATTAATAGGTATCTTATTATAATGTGTATGAGTGTAGATATTAATTACTTGTTAAATCAAACATACACTGATCTGGTGTAGATAAGATCTGAAACGGATCATTGTAAGAGCAATATTCATTTTAAAGCCATCATTGGTTAAAGCACAGATTATTCAAACATTTGATTTAAACATCTTGTTCATTCAACACATGATTATTTAAACCTGTAAGCTGTAGAGTTACAATTCCAGATGACTTTTCCTCAGAGTGAAAATGCAGGAGCCTGCATGAGACCTTGAGTGAGAATGTTTTGACTTCTTGCAGTAGCAAGAACTGGAGCAGAGGCATGTTTGAATTTGGGTGTCCAAACAGATTGTGTTTTCCTGTCTGCAAATGAAAGGTTTTTATGTGGTCAGTATATAGGTGACAATTGACCACTTGGTACATTACATTGTCCAAACTTGTCCTCCACTGTCCCCCAGTGAGAAGGCATGGTCCGCCTCTCACTTAGGCTGGCTGCATCGACTCACTGCTGTAAATTGAGCAGCCGCTTGGAAATATGCATGTATGACAGATGCCAGAGCTTGGTCCGCATTGCTGGCAGTAAGCAAGACAAACATCTGGTCTTCTCCATGTTGCATATAAACATGCGTTCATTTATTCTAATCAATATGATTCAATGAACGACTTAACATTGTATTCATTTTTTGTAATACAGACACAACAGCAGAAGCAAAAGAGCTGACGGAAAAACACTTTTTACGGTTGGAGCTTTTTCCCTAAATAACAGGAAAAAGGAACTTGTTTGTTCTCTAATTAAAAATAGGGGCAGTTATACATTTTTGCATGTACCACAGCTTCTGTCTGATCTCGTTTTCTGCTGAAGCAGCAACTGAAGCTGGTTTGAAAAGCAGGCCTGCAAGTTAAATTGTTGGTGAATGAAAACTTGTCTTAGAGAGCACTGACTTTATGCTCTTTGCCGGGTTTCATTAGATAGAAAATATTTAACTGATTGGAAATTCTCTTGATGTTATTTACAATAGCCCATGTTGTTTTGTTTTCTGGTGTCCTTTCATAACTCGCCACGGTTACATGTATGAAAACCTTTCTGGGTTTCCTTCGAAAAAAGATGACAATTTCATTGGTTGTTATTTATTTTTAAATGGACTTACTTTGACTTTTCATCTTATTTGAAAGTTTTGTTAGTGCCCATTAACTTCTGGTTTCATACCCGTTTAACTGATTTATGAATCTGCAGTTTAAAGGAGAAGTGGGGACGTATGCTTATTGTGTTAAAGTTCCCCAGAACTGGAATAAATTACCTGCTGATTTCTATTTAATCACTTTGCTTATTTCATAACTCCATTTATAAACTGATGCCGACTTCTAATTGTTTTGTTTCTGCTGCTTATTATCATGTCTGTACTCAATTTAACAGCCTTGTTGTTTTCCATTGCCCGACTCGTATTTGCACATGGATTTGTATGTACAGTATGTGTATTTTGTGTTTGTATATGACAATGCAAAAATTCTCATACATGGGGCGAGCCACAGCAGGGTTTAGTTTATTTTTGGTATTTTTAGTTTTTGATGGTGTTTTGACGCTGTTATCTTTTTCCTTATTTGCTGTATAGTAGGAGGACCTGCTCAAAAACAAGGTGTTACATCTCAAGCAGTTTATCCTACTGAAAAAAAAATATAAGTCTAATAAATACATGAAAACTCCCTAATGCTGAACCATGTCTCCCTTCCTGACTTGCTGATGTGAATTATTTAAAGATCTATTCAACTGCAGGTGAATAAAAAAAAATGTTATGAAATGTGGTCCAAAAATACAATTTCAAATGTTTATTGTGGGATTTTGTTTTTAAAGTAAAAAGTGGCCCTTTTCAGCAAACCTTCTAAAAACGCTTTTTTTTTTTAATCTCAACCTCTGACCTAACGAGTGGTAGTTATAAGATAGTCTTGCCTGTAGCTCAGTGTGGCAAATAGGTATGTCATGTTATAGAGTCTGTTCACTAGGTTTGGATGTGTTCATCTTTCTTAAAAATGGTAAACTATTGTGTTGCTGTGGAGGTTGTACAAACTCCATCAGGTCCAGACATCGAGTCCACAGGTTTCAAAATAAGAGAATAAACGGCACTATCTTCTGTTCCTGGTGCGTTTTGTGCAGCTGAAAACGTGGTTGATTGTGGTGTGCACTTCAGACCAGAGGATTACAATCCAAGCGATGTGATGGGAGTTCAACATGCCTCCCATCCTCCAGAACAGGATAGGAGGCTTTTAAAACACCCTGCAGGCTCTGGAGCCCAGATCAGCTTCGAAACCAGGTCAGGGAGGTCTGCGCTGAGCTCCAGAAGAGGAGCTATCATGTTCGGCGCCTTTATTTTTTCTATGACTTTTTGTTGCTCTGATTGGCTCTGACTGCGGACCACTAAGAGAGAGAGGGAGAGAGAGGGAGACAGAGTGAGAGACTGGTGCTTTATTAATAAATGGGAGAAAAATCTAATTTGTTCAAACTAAAATACGGGAGATGCCACAACAGTTTGGAAGCCTGTGTGTTCATCCTGTGTTAAAAACCTAACAGCATTTAAGGGAATTTGCATATACAAGGTAT